AGTTCAGACTCATGTACTTAATCTTTCTTCTGTTACTGTTGAGGTTCGATCTTCCAGATTGAACTCTGGGATATAATACTCAACTCCAGACTTTGTCCCTACAATTAAGTTGCCCATTTTCTTAGTTTTTGAACTCTTATTTCTGTGTGTCTGCATTTAATTTTACTGACATAGCACTCCCTTAAGAACTTCTTGGAGATCTGGTCTGGTGCTGGTAAATTCTTTCAGGTTTTGTTTATCTGGGAATGTTCGTGTCTTTTCTTCCCAAATGAATGATAATCTTGCTGGGTACAGTATTCTCGGATGTAATTGCTTTTCCCTTAACACTTTGAATATATTTTCCCATTCTTTCCTTGCTCACATTGTTTCTGATGAGAAGTCTGCTGTTATTCTTATGGGATACCCTTTGTAGGTAACTTGTCATTTTTCTCCTGCCAATCTTAGTATCTTGTCTTTGTCCATGGTTTTGGTCAATCTGGTTGTAATGTGTCTTGGAGAAGATCTTCTGGGGTTGATTCTATTTGGGGTCCTCTGTATTTCTTGGGACTGAATCTTTGAGTGCCTCTCTAGGTTTGGAAAATTTTCTTGCAGGATTTCATGAAATAGATTATCAATGTCCTTATGAGTCTCTTCACCTTCTGGGATACCTATTATCTGGATGTTTGGACGTTTGATGGTATCTAGTATTTCTTGTAGATTATTCTCAAATTTTAGGGCCATTTTCTCAGTCTTCGTGGTGGATTTTTCTAGGCTAGCAATTTTCTCTTCTACGACTGAGATTATATTTTCTGTGTGATCTAGTCTGCTTTTAATACTTTCAAGGGAGATTTTGACTTCCTGTGTTATAGCCTTCATCTCTCACAGTTCCATCTGATTCTTTTGTAAAGTGTGAAATTCCTCTTTTAGATCTTGCATGAATTTCCTCACCTACTGGAACCCAACAAGTTCTTTCTCCTTCCTCTTCAGCAGTTCATTGTCTCTCTTCTCTTCCATCTCTGTTAGTTTTGCCATTATGAATGTTCAGAATTCTTTATCAGACATTTCCATGAATTCCATTGAACTGTGTGTGGATGAAGAGAAGTTATCCTTTTCCCTTGAAGGAGATGTATTTTCCTGCTTTCCCATATTTCTTGTGGTCCTGCAGTGATTTCTCATCATCTGGTTGATGGTCGGTTTCTTCCCAAACTTGGAAGTTCAATCTGAGAATCAAGGAACATGCAGAAAAGGAAACAGAAAGAGAGAAACAACAGCAACGACAGCAAAAAAACAAACAAGAAACAGAAAAAGAGAAGAAAAAATGAAGAGAAAAAACTTTTCAATAAAACTAAAAAATTGATATTTAAAAAAATTGCAGTAAAAACCAAAAATTAGAAAACCAATTATTAACAAAATAAAGGGATAGGAGGGGCCAGAAAGTGCAGAAAATGCTTCACCTTAAAAAATTCAAAAAAGCAAAAATTAAAAAAGAGAGAAGCCAGAGCCAAAGACAGAGACAGAGGTAGAGATAGATAAAGACAGGTACAGAGACAGGAGTCCTGAAAGGGGTCTT